GCCCCGCATCGGCAGGCCCTCTTCGCAGGGGGCGTCGCGCGTCCGGGCGGGGAGGGCAGACAAAGGTGGCATGCCTCGGCCGACCCCAGGTAGGGGCGCGGGGCGCGGGCCCGCTTCGCGGCTTCTGGCAGCTCCGTGCCGCCCGCGAGGAGGTGCCCAGCCGTCCTCTTCCTGGGCTGGCGCGAGCGAGCACCGAGCCACGCTACTGTGCTGAATCGGAGGCTGCCGTCGCTCCGGGAGCGATTGAGTCCCTCCTTCCTTGCTTTCGCCCACTGCCCACACGTTTGGTCCCTGTCACCAGGACTGCCTGGTCTCAGTAACGCGACCTTTGCGGGGCGCCGGCGGGGAAGCATGACCCAGTGAAAGAAACGTAATTAAAGCGAGCCGGTTTTCCAGCGTGAACCCGGCAAGTTGTAACTCGCGCCAATAAGCAGCCAGCTTTTTCAAGTTATGTCATGTGTTGACATATTTCCGAGACGTCTGCTTTCTCTTTGGTAGTTAAGAGTTGTAGGAGCGGGATCCATAAACAGGAAGGAGCGTGGTGGAATGGGATTTAGGCCTGGGATCCGAACACAACTGACTTGGGTTCTTGACCATCCGGTTCCGCTCTCCGGAGTACGTTTGTATCCTGGCTGGCGACCAGCATTTCCCAGGGCAGTGGGTGCCCCCATGTGGAACCACTGCCCAGACCCCTTGGTTGTCATAGCGTCCCGGGCCTATTGCCAGGACCCTGGATCCTGGAAGACTTGACGCTCAGCTCAGGACCTCACAGTTTTCTCTTAGAGGGAAGGAAGGAGGTGGGGCAAGGAAGCAGGCGGTGGCTCTGGGAGGTTAGGTTTCCAGTGCCATTTCTCCCCCTTACTTCAGTAAACACTTATCCGGAGGCCTAATGAATATTTAGATAGAGTTCTGAGTTCACGGAACAAAAAGGTCCTCCCCAGGGTCAGTAAACTTTGTTATTTGGATTTAGGGGTAGTCAGGAACTGGCAAGAAAAAGGGAATTTCCAGAGTTGAGTTAACAGCTGGGGAGTCTCTGTTGATAGGAACTCATAGTGACATCTCAAGTAGAAGCTTTTCCAAGAATTGCCTGAATCATTAACTTAAAAAAAAAATCTGTTAATAAATTCTACTTCCCTTCTGCCATAGAGTGCACTTTGAATTGTGCAGAACTGCAGAAAACAGAGCTGGCACGACCAGTAATCATATTTTTGTACTGTTCAATAGTGGGTCTCAAGAGTTGTTCCTCTGCTTCAATTAGGCTGATGATTATTTCCAAGTTAGGTGGACTTGATGTGTCTGCTTTGTTGGCATTTCTCGAAGAAGACCAGTGCTTTCAAAGCAGAAGCAGATTTTTTAGTTACGACTTTGCCACGTGAGGTGGATGCTTAAAAATGTTTGTTCCTGTTCTCTTCTCTGTTTGCTTAGGCTGTGAATTCTGTAGGTTTTTAATATTGAGCCTTATTTGAACATGTGTACTGCTCAGACAGTTATAACTGGTTAAAATTCAGAAGCTTAATTTAATTCCTCATCCCATAATACAAAATTATTTGTGGCAGAGGAGCAAAGGGTGTCACCTAAGTTTGTAGGAACTTAAAACAATCCAATAAAGAGAAAAAGGTATTCAGTGTAGCCAGTTATTTTACATGACATTTGATGTGCATTTTATGTACTTTTTATGGGGCCCAATTTTATACTTCAATTTATATTTATTACTATTAGTGTCACTGCGCTCTTGTTAACATCAATATAAAGCAGCCTGTGCATTTATAAAACAAAGATATTACATCTATCCTAAAATTCTTCTTACTCATCCAGTTCTTCATTATCGACCGATTTCTCTCCAGCTAGTGAATACTTCCCAGGGAGGGATACAGGGATTCTCTTTTGTGTGTGTTAAAGATTTGCTTTTACAAAATATGTTTGAGATCAGAATCTGGGTGTAAACCATAGGTATTTTGTTTGTTCTAAATAAATATTTAGTCGAACACTTTTCTCATTCATAAGAGCAAAACAAACAAACAGTTAAAATGACTGCCAGTGTAGGTAGTATTCACATTTCCTGCATTTTAAGAGAGCTAGCAGTGTTCAAAGTTTGAGTAGTAATATGTACATTAAAGATAGTGGTTTCTCCTGGGCTCATGTTTAGTTTACAGAATATTTCTTAAAATCAGAATGACATGTGAAGATCCTTAAAAATATTTTTTCATAAATTTTGCAAAACAAGACAGTGAAATAGCAAGGCTTTTCTGCTTGTTAATTTGTATCATACATGCCATTTAGCTTATGACTTGTAAAAAGTAACTCTTCTGGCAGTTGCCTATGCAGAACTGCACTCTTGGGCAGTGTAGTGTGTCTGAACAGGGGTGAAAACCAAGAGGAAACACAGAAACATACAGGCGCTGAGCTGTTCAGGGGGAGTCTGAGCTCTGTGGCTCAAGTGCATATACTTTATTCATAGGAAAAAACTTCTTTGAGCCCATTAACTTGTGTTTCAGTTAGAAGTTTCGTTGTGAGATTCTAGTCTTTTAGCAAGTGAGAAGGGGAAAGGTACAGATGGCACTGACCCGAAGGGACAAAAGAGCCATGGTTAGCGCGTATTGTGTGCCCTTCGCTATGCTGAGTACGTGAAGTAATTGCTCAGTGCTGAGCAGCAGCATATTCCTACCTTCCTTTACAGATGGGTGGACCGAGATGGAGAGAAGGCAGGCAGTGTGCTCAAGATTATGCCTGTATACACTGTGAACTATTTCAGTCCTGATAAAACTCACTTTAGCATTCCTGTTCTTGAGCTTCTACTATTAGCAGAGGAAAGAAATGGAAAGGTGCATAATCTGGGAGTCTTTCTGGAGATTCACTTAACCCTTGTTCATTCAACCAGTGTCTACTGAGTCCACTGTGTGGGTACCGGGGACATAGCAGTGACCAAAGGAAGAATCCCTGTATCACTCCACTCTAGTCAGAGGGAGGGATGGGGAGATAGTGAAGAAATTAATTTTGGAGGATGAAGAAGAAGAGTTTTAGGATAAATGTAATGTCTTTGTTTTATATATGCACAGGCTGCATTATATTGACTTTAATAAGAGCACAGTGACACTAATAATAATAAATATAAAGTGAAGCATAAAATTGGGCCCCATGAAAAGTACATAAATATGCACACCGGGAAAGCAGTCTTTGTTTCTATAGTGCACATTTATGAAATAGTGTCATTGGGATACAAAAGTTCAAAGAGATGATTATATGATTGAAATAAACAGGATTGAAAAGAAGAATAAGAAGTAAGGCTGATTACATGAGGAATGACTGGAGTGTATCATTGTCAGTATTTTTTTTTTTTTTTTTTTTTTTTTTTTTTTTTTTTTTGTGTGTGTGTGTGTGTGTGTGTGTATGTTGGGAATGAACCCAGGGCCTCATACATGCTAGGCAAGTGCTGCCACTGACAGCTACATTTCGGTTCTTTTTAAAAAATAGTTTGATGGGCCGGGGGTGTACCTCAGCAACATAAGTGCTTGCCTGGCAAGCTTGAGGTCATGAGTTCAATTCCCAGTACCAAAAAAAATAAAAATAAAGATAGTTTGAGACAGCGTCTCACTAAGTTGCCCAGTCTGGCCTTGAACTTGCAGTCTTTATGCCTCTGTCACCAGAGCGGCTGGGATTACAGGTGTGCACCATCACACCTGGATGTCAGTATCAGCAGACTGTGGGAAATAAAGAGCTTTTCTAGGCAGGAAGAAAAACGTAAAGCATTAAAAGTATTCCTTAAATGTGGGTATAATTTATTTTCAGTGCTGGGAATCAAACCCAGGGCTTCATGTAGGCTAGGCTCGTGCTTTACCACTGAGTGCCCCAGCCCTGAATATGTCGTGTTTATGATTGAGTGTGAGTTCTATAAATGCAAACTGTAAGATACGAATACATGAGAAGCCAAATAACAACCCCAGGAAATCGCTGGAGCCATGAAATAGTATTGATATCCTAAATATTTCTTCAGAACAGACAATACATATGGTTTACACTCAACTTCTCACCTCAGAAATATTTTGCAAAACAAACCTATAATACACCAC